CTGGTGATAGTAGTGAGTAGCAGTAGCAGCAGCAGTAAAGCTGTTGCCGTAGCAGCAGCAGGTGGCAAGTGTAGTGGCAGTAGCAGAAGGAGTGGTGGCAGCAGAGGTGGTTGTAGTAGTTGTGTGATCCAAGGGCTTGGATCACACACCCACCTTTGATCCATACCCTATGGATCGAGGTATGGATCGTGTGTGGGTTTGGGTGTGTGATCCAAGCCTTATGTTTCTGGCCGTAGCCATATATGTATAATGATATTTTTTACTCTACGCATGGAAGGACCAAAAGAGGTCAAAAAGAGTATACAAGCCTCCGCAAGCGTCCTTCTACGTCTCATCAGGGAGTTCACTGAAATCGGTCAAAACCCAAACGACGTTTGCGCAATTCACCCAATACACTCCCTGGAACTCACATGGAAGTGGACAATACAGTAGATTAAAATAGAGGAACATGGCCGCTTGAAATCCACAAACCTTCCACTTCCATGTTAGTTCCAGGGCCTGCAGGGAGTAATTTTCGGTCTCTGTCTAAGAACATTGCCATACTCTTGATCAGCAGAAAACGACCTCATGCTCGTACCTGCAGGAAGGTGTTCACAACGTTGACTTCGTGCTCCATGAGAGTTGGCAAGGTATCCATGGTCCGGAATGGACGGTCGAGGTGCTTTTGTTGGAGTGTTTAAACTCCAAACCACGCGGGGAGGTTTGAGCCTGTACGGGTCTGAGCGACGGCCGGTGCTTGCAGCTGGGAAGGGGGAGGAGAGAACAATGCTTCTGAGAATCTGATTGAGCAGAAAATGTCAGAATATATCAGAATCAATGAGCAAGCTCTCGACTCAACATGTTCAGTGTTTTTCATGTTTCCACTTCCATGATCCGAAGAGACCAATTCAGCACGGTCACTGCCCAAGTATTTACTCAGCTGACATGGCTAGAAGAAACTGGACTAGCAGCGTGGTTTTATTACACTCCCTGGAACCAACATGGAAGTGGAAAGTGGTCCCTTGGAAGACCATGTTTCTCTACTTCCATCTCGAATGAACCAGTGGTGTTGACTAGCTTCCAGAAGTTCTGCATAGTGTAAGGTTGCATGACTTGGCTTGGAGCCGAGTCTCAACACCATTGAACTAAATCATTCCAAAACTTCTGGTGAAGCCTAGCAACATATATGACGTGGAGTGTCGAAGGGACGATCTATCGGCCCAATCCTCGACCCAACACCCTCGAACCGTCTTCTCGAGGCATGTGGAGGCTGTGATGTTTTTCTCTTCCACACCCAAATAAGGACACCTGATGGATGGATGACCCATTCTTGTTACCCCGAAGCCTTCGACAAGCACCAGTGCCCAACTGATTTGAGAGATCTGTTGGGACGGTTGGGAGAGACCTTGGTGGGAGACGCAGATCCACCCCCGGGCTCGCGCAGAAAAACGCACCTCGCCAGTGACCCATTCATCATTGGTCTCGGGATAGATGGAGCGATGAAGGGATAGATGAAGCGACCGAAGGAACAAGCACCGCATCCCGAAAATGCCATGAAACATCTAATCACCAACATTTGGTTGCTTCAGAGTACATTCATGTTGCATGCATACAGTTTTTTATGCGGGGCGTGAACTACCAGAAGCTATGTTGAATCGAAAACACGTTTACTTTTCTCCTGCGGGTCATGAGTTCTGTGGTTGCTTCGCCTTAACGAAAGAACCTCAACACTTGGGATGTCGGCGATGGAAACAACATGGCGGGGAAGAGCACTCCCAAAGCAAAAAAAACACTTAAAAATACCGATATATAAAGCAATCAAGTACAGATTCTACACACATCATCCACATATCACACACAAACTGCCAACAATGCGCATCAACAATACAACGAAATCATGCACGACAAGAAAGGGCATGAATAACTGAATCCAAAACCAGCAACAGGAATTGGCTGTCCACATGTACTTTTGAGGTGTGCTCTGCAACAAATCCACAACATGTGCTCTACAAGTTGACAGATCAGTTGCGTTCGACTTCAAATCAAAAGCGGCCGTTGGACATCTACTGTACGACCTCTCGTAGAGTCATTCGCTTGTGGCCACACAAGAACCCGGCCCCAGGCCGCCCAACTGGGCGCCCGGTCGAACGGTCGAGTCCGGTTAGACCGTAGGTCCCAAGTGACGAACGGTCTCAGCGAGGAAAAGGGAGGTTTGACCGTTCGACTGTCCCAGCAAAACCCACCAGAACACCGAACAAACCTCGACCTGCTTTCTCCTAGCCCTACAAGTCCAGTCTGACCCCGTAAATACCCTCCTCAAACTTACCCCCCCGGAGTGTTTTTGCGTGACCAACTCTTGTAAAAAGGTCGGTGGACACCGAAGAGGGCGGGTTTGTTGGGTGCTCGGCGCTCCACCCGTGCCGATCCTCCCAGCTGGGCTTCCGAGCTTCATTTTCCCTGGCGACCGGTCCCACCCAGGCGGAGGGGTCGAAGGGAAGGAACGGGTAGCTGAAGAACCACGAAGGTGACAGCTGTTCGTTCTTCAAGCCTGGTTTGTTTGAAACAAGGAATATCGATATATCAGAGACCTGGAGTCGACCTGGGTACAAGTACCTGTTTTATATGGGGTCATATACCATGTTCTAAGGTACTTTGGAGGGTCCAGGTACAAATAACTGTAAGATTCTGTAATATTCTGTAAGGTTTTGCTGTTTATCCAGGGGCTGGGTAGGAAGTGAGGTCGACAGGACAGATCAATTTTTAAGGGCATTGGCGCGGATGACTGATCGCAAGTTCGGGAGAATCCAGTGGGCTGACGTCAGCCCAAGAAGGTGTTCAAAAGATTTCAAAAGTCTGTTCTCCATCTCTTGATGATATTTGGAGTCATCATGATGTTCCGAAGAATGAAACCAGCCAAGTAGATGCAACATTATGCAAATAGGTTCAAGAGGGGAAAGCATCGGTGCAAAGGGTAAAGCAATTAAAATTCGCTTAGAACAAGGCCATCATTCGTGTGATGAGGGTTCAACAAAGGCAACCACAAACATCCTTCAGAGTCTGTACATCACTGCAATTTTGTAACACCAAAGTAAAAGTAAATACTCTTCAAACATGAGTTGGAACTCATATCTTTTTCTATTATTGGGGGAGTCTTGGAATGAAGCAATGATTACAAGTTATAGTAACTATACATTACCCATTAATAAGAAAAAACAAAATAAAAACAAACCTCCCAGCACAAAACTCCGTCCATCCCCACTCTAGGAGCAAGAAAAAAACCAAACCTCTAGGAGCAAGAAGCTACTAGGGGCTCCTGGCCTTACTAGGAGGAAGGACGCTACATGACACTACTAGAAGCAAGGAAGACTACAACTGGCAAAAGCCGCCCTTTTCATACCATCCAAACCCCATCCCCATTCACCCGGCGTCAAACGCAATGACATCAACCACCGAACCGGCGGCCGTCCACGAACCACCGAACCGGCGACCATCCGCGAGCCAAAAAAACCCGGCGACCTGGTGCGGCGTTCGAACTTCACCGACTCTTGCACCAAGGACTTCTGAACATGTTGCCGTGGAGCCCTGACGGGCCGAGCCATGGAGGTTTTCGGCGCGCAGCGAGCGCACGAGCGCGGATGCGCGCGGAGGGATTCAGCGAAGAGTGAGCGGCCTCTGCGACTGATGAGGTGAGTACTTCAGATGAAGAGCTGACATGAAAGGTGGCTGAGTGATCCATGAAAATCCATATCGAACCACTGAAACATATGGGAGAGATTCTGCTCAGGTCAGTTCACAAGTTGCACCGCCACGCGTTTGCCGCGCCACGCAGAATAGCGCCATGCACCAGTCATGTGAGGAGTTGTTCATTGGATCCAAGGGTCCAAGCGCCAGGTCCTTCGGATTGGTTGACCCGTCTTAAAAAGCTAGTGCCTCTCGGTCGGTCGAACTGAGGTGTTTGTTCGTACGAAAAGGGAATTCCATATATAAACATGTCGTACACTATGTCGTACCTTCTTTGAAGGGACTGGGGCCCGAATGCCAGGGGAAAACGAGTCATACCTTCTTCTGAGGCACCGGGAAGGAAGGCGCCCGTGCGCCCGTGCCAGGTCATGTGTCGATGTCGATCTGTTCTCGAATGGATTGGCCGTGGAGGACGGGAAGTGATTCCCATCGCTTCGGAGCACACGACTGGATGGCCAGGTGCAACAAGGGCAAGCATGGCAAGTCTGTCACAGTCGTCTGACAGATGGAAGACTTTAAAATCAACATCATGTATTCCAATAAGTCTTGTATTCATCATCAAGCCCTATGGATCCACATACCGAACCTGAGAAGGTGAGCAGGGAGACTATTTATGTAGGCGCCAGGAGAGCCCAAATACCTTCTGAGAAGGTATGTGGATCCACAGGGAAGTATGAGGGATATATATTTATACACTCCAGCCCGCTCGGCGTCCGAGCTGGGTCTTCACCGCCAGCGATTTCCGCGCACTGAAGGGCCTGGCGGTGAAAAGCCAAGAGCGACGCAACGAAACAAATGCCAGGCACCACCAAGGGGACCGGAATATGTGTATATATGTGTATTACTAACTAGGGAGACCTCGCAGGCGTTCTGACACCCTGGAAGAAGGAACATCAATCAGTCGAACAGTCAGTGCTTCGTTTTCTTGACGACAATCTATAAGACTGGCAGCCTGGGCGTGCGAAATCTCGCCCCTGGCTATGTTCCGAACGGAACGCAGGGGGGTCAGAACGCCGGGCAGGAGGTCTCCCTAATTTCATGCGCACCCATATGTACCCCTGAAAAATAGACATATGGAACCTGATGGTATGGACCAGACTGGAAGACTATCTGCTCTACAACCCAGTGGTTCCTTCTTGTGAATCTTCCAAGGCGTACCTATGTTGGAGTGGTTTTTGTTGGTCTCCAGTCCCATTGGTCGTGTCTGGGTGGCTGGACGGCCATGTTGCCCAGAACCACCACGGCCACGGCCACTGTTTCGTTGCCGTATATGGAACCACGGACGGTCGATTTGCTTCGGCGTCAACTGACCCGCTGCATTCAGTTTGGCAGGTTCTCTTTTCCTTGAACATCGACCCGGGCCATAGCCTTAAGAACTCTGGATAGCTGAACGTGAGATAAATTAATCACCTCATGAGGGAAATGGTACGAGTACGGTGGGTGTTGCACCAAACGGTTTAAGAACAAGCTTGAACAACCCGGGATGTTCGCCTTATAACCAACGGATCACGACTAATTATAACAAACAATTCTAACCAACACCGAGCTTGGCCCGTCTCATCTCGCTCATCTCTGTGCACGTGTCTCTAATATATGAAAAAGATATCGGATTGAAGCTCTTGTACGCTACTTAGCAATAACGAAACGATATCAAGCGACATCTGCTTCCACCATCTTCAAGCTGTATCTTTGCCTTGCAATCTCCTCTCGCCCCAAATACTACTGGTGTTGTTGATCACAACACCAGAACAGCTTGTGAGCACCAGCGGTCCACGTGTGCCAAGACTCCTCCCGAGTGTGTTTACAAGTCCTATTCTAAAAAAATAAAAAACACTACTTGGAAAGGATCATGGTGACCCAAAGCACACAGGGTTATCCTTGTTTACAAGTCCGACAAGTCCTTCCTGTTTACTTGGAAGAATCCAGAAAACACGTGGAAGTTCACCACCTGCTTGGTTTTCAGACAGACCTGGGGCCATCCACGTCACCACGTCACCACGATGTCACTCTAAGAAGTGGAGACATTCCACGTGTCGGCCGTGTGGGGGACTTCCAGCTCGGTGACTCTGGTGTCGGTGTCGGTGTAGATTTGAAGGTTTGGCCTCCACACATGGCCATTTGATGCGTAGAAAAGCAGACGAATCCAACAGGTTCAGAGATCAACCCAGGGTGAATCCAGGCCTTTGAACAGGCCAACACATCAAGATCGTCTTCCACCCCAATGAAGATGTGGACAAGCTGGTAGACTATTGGCCCCCGCCTGCTTTGAAGCTTCTGAACCACACTGAGCACTATATGACTGGCGCACAGTCTTACGGCTACTCCCAAACGTTTGGACAATGGCTGTCCTCTATACATACATACAAAGTGATAGCTAAGCTAGGGGCCCATAAGTGCCCATCATGCCCAACGACCCTGGAAAGACATGGTTCTAGAAGAAACACGGCGCCCTTCTCGCAGTGGCTGCAGGTCCTTCTAAATCTAATGCACCAATCTCTCGAGCATTATCCAAAACCACCTCTTTTCACCCTGAGGATTAAACAGGCAGGGATGTGCTGGGCTGGCATCCTGGCCGCGCAATTCTCAAGGCGATTCAAACCTAAACAACCCCTCCTGCCCCGGGTGGGTTTCACACCCGACAGTGAATCGTACGGGTGATCCTTGCTCCTACAAACACTTGTCGGATGGAGAGTAATGATCAAACCAATGATGTCCGACATTGGGGAATAAAGTAGAGGGGTGCCAGGTACCATATACCCATTGGACTACCCATTGGTTGAGCACTTGACAAGTATCCCCTCAAGAAAAAAATCAACCAGCCAAGGACTCACGGTCCGCGTCACAAAGAAATACACAAAAGAAACACACACGAACCCGAATGCAAACACAAGACCCCTTGTCGAGTACTGTCCCCAGAGTTTTACACGAGAACCCTTAATACGCCGTCTACGCATTCGGGTTCTAAGCAGGTTGGCACGCATTCCATCACTCTCTCTAACACCAGATCTGATGGATCCAAGTTTGCGGTCTCTTACTGCGGACCTGCCCCTACCACAGCTGAGGGCAAAAGAAATCAGTAAGAACAAGTTGAATGGGTCAATCTGAGGTGAAGAATTAGCTCCTTGGGACTCAAGTAATTACATCATACATCCAATATCAGTCAATATCATCCAATGTCAATTGGACTGATTGGATCCTACTGATTGGACGTGGCCAGCGGCCAGGGATGAGAAACACCTTGAAATCCACACTCCGCGGACACCGAACCGTGCCAGGCGAACGATGTTTATCGATCGCACACCGAACCACAAGGCGCTCCCGCAGCTGCTCCAAAACGATCAGAAGCCCTGAACCAGCAAGCCCTGAACGTCTCGACCACCCAAGGCTTGGACAAAACATATAACAATCCAAACGAGTTGTGATGAGCTTGTAGAGAGGGGCTTTCGATTGAACATTTTGGACCCGTGTTTTCAACTGTTTTCGACAAGGTGCTTTCTTTCTGCTACCAATGGCTTTCTCATGGTTTCTCCAACCTCCTCCCCCCCCGGCCGTGGTCGCCTCTTCTCAAAGCATGGCGCTTCGGCGCTTCGCTCCCTCGCTGGGTCTGTCTCGGTGCGGAACTCGCCCCGGCTTCGCCGGCGAACGCGTTGCGACCGCTAAGAACCGTCGGAGCCGGACATCGGCCACGGGGGCGGGGTCGGATGCGACGCGACGAGTGCAGGTCCATCTGGGAAAGGACTGAGGTGAAATTAGCAACATAGATTGCACAGAAATCAAACAAGCTAAGACATCAAACTCATCACATATTGATCTAGTTTCAGCAGCTAAGTATTGAGTGAACCAAAGGAGTTGACCATTGATCAAACATGATCAAACTGTTGCTTCCATCAATAAAGGCCCAACCGTCATCATCCTTCATCATACACATACGCCAACTGAATCTCTCATAGAAGGGGATGATGAGGCATGTTCCATTATGATGGGGTTCCACGCCACATGTCCATTGTATACACATACCCCTGACTGGTGTTCCATGACTGGTGTTCCATACCCATGGCAGGTGTTCCACACCCATGACTGGTGTTCCATTATGGTCCCCTGAAACACCAGTCTCTTTTGCCGAATTGGGCTCTCAGCCCATTCCATCGCGGGTCTCGCCGGTCAAGCAAGTTGGATCAGGGTTTCGGTGTCCAAAGAAGAACTCATGTGGAAGTCAGTCGATGGGTACCGCAGGATTGAGAGGAAAACATCAAGTTGAATCAAGGCGCAGGATTCTACCAGGACCTTCAAAGTGACCTTTTGAGATACTAGAATTAGGGCATCTACTTTTTTTTAATGTTGGTTTACTTAATGAATCTTTTCTATTGGGTCGAAGAAACACACCTTTGGCCGCCAGCCCCACTGATGACCATTCCCAAATAAACCAACCAACAAACATGATTCTTACTCCGACTCACTCCCTCGGAACTTTTTTGAGCGACAATGGCGCGACTAGCTGGTCGGTCGCTCAAATATCTTGGGCCATCTCCTCCAGGACCTGCCCATGTGGGCGGCATTATACAAATCAGCCATCCCGCACACCAACAAAAACACCAAGCCCAGGTTTGAGGGCGGGCGTTGATGCTTCGTCACGGCATGCGATAACGCCAAAAAAGTGCTGTGATTTGAAGCGTGTGCAAGAAAAGAAACACGCGGGGCGGGCGTTAAGCGCGGACAACTTGGTTTTGACGCGAGAAGAAACGATGATAAACGGATGCTGGAGACCATGCTCAATGATTGAAAGATCCTGAACATGGGATCATTGGACGATTTGGGGGTGTCCCTGACTTGAATACGAAAAGATGTATCATCACGTCTCTATGAGTATATTATTGCATTATATGCATCTGTACAGTGTTGGTCTATAATAATACAGAATTGCAAATTGACTATTGGGTATCCCCCATTCCTTCCACAAACCTTAATGCCTTCGCCTCCAAGCAATGGAAGGCCACCGCTTCTGATGGTTTGTGGAGGGAAATGGAACCAATGTCGAATCAACCCCAAACCCAGCACCATGGGTAAAATGATTGCGAATCTCGAAGGATGTTGCACCCAAGTATGATCTTTTGTGATAATCTGATAACCCTGGACAATGCTGTACCTCTGCAGTCAAAGCACGTGGACCCGTCTTGCCTGCGCGTCCGTCTTTGGTGGCTCCTAAAGCGGTGGTTCTTGCTGCGAGTTCCGTTCCAAAGGGGAGACTGTTGAACGGCTGGTTGGAGACTGTCATGTGGTATACTCCCTGGTGTAGGGAATGAGGAATGCCCATACACCCCAAAACAAGGACCGTCCAAAGGTAAAGGTTGTAAGATGTTTTAAGCCTCAGCTCCATAGGAGGCTCCAAAGATGCCTAGGGATCCCTAGGGAAACACATGCCACTGAGGATCCAATCCCTCATTCCGCAAACTGGTGAGTCCCCAACGGGACACCGAAGAGCGATTTGCTTGCCAGTACCATGGTAGGTAGACTTGGGGGCACAAGCCAATTGCTGCTTGGGATGCCGACCAAGAGGTTTATGGTTCAAACATCTTGGCTCAAATTTGCAGGTATTCTCACCTCCCATGGCTTCTCAAAAGCATTTGCTGACAATCAGGGTGCAACCTCTGTTTCCCCTTATCTCGGTTCACACTTCTTGAACCCGAAATCCCAAAAAAGACTTGGGCAAAAGTCTGAAGGGGTTGACACCGACACCCAACAATATTACCGCAGCTGTATCTCAAATGACAGTTGGATGAAACAGAAAACTTCAACGATCTTCCCCACCACACGTTCGCCGCGCTGTCCCGCCTGCAGCGGATTGGCAGCCTTTAAGGCTGCCAATGCCTCTGTTGCCTGAAACATTCAGTGGTGTCGTGAGCTGGCTATTCTTTAGGAATACGTTGAATATGTTGCTTCCGACTGGAATCAGGTGTCTTGTTTGTTTGGGTGGGTGTTGCTTGGTTGAAAGTTCATGGAGTGTGTTTTCCATGAAACGATCTTAAACGGACATGTGTTTTGGAGATCCACATGCTGATACCCCATGCTGCCTCTCAAACCATCAGTACCTGATTCATTGGTTCGAAGCTCCAATGCGGCCGATGTTTTGCCAAGTATCCTCTACCAACCCTCTACCCATCCAGAACAAAAGCACAAAGAGCACACACGACAAAGCCCTCTACCCATCCTGTGGCTCTCTTGGATTCTGCGATCTGGGACGGTTGAACAACTCACGCCTCTGCCAGCTGCCGGGTGAGCTCGGCGATCTGTGCATCCCGCTCCGCGATCTGGCACTGTCCAGTCCGAAACAGTGGAATCCGGAGGAAAAAATAACATGGCCGACGTCCACCTTCGGTGTGGAAGAGACCCACATAACCTGATGGCATGGACCAGACTGGGAGACAATCTTCCTCTAGAAACCGGATGAAACCAGACACAGTGGGTTTCTTCCAGGGTTTCATGTGGGTCTTGGAACAAGGGCATAAGACCAGCACACTGAGTGCCATTCTGCTGGGCCCCTGCAGTCGAACACACTGCCGAAGGGCTCTGCTGAAGACGAAGGGGAGACGCTGTTGGGGTGCCTGTGAAGTCGATCGGCCATGTGGTGACATATGTGTCTGGAAAGAGGGCTGGGCCTTGACCTTGATAAACCTTAAACTTGAGTGGCCCTTATCTGCAAATGTGACCTGTTCCTATCAATCAAAAGTCCCAAACCTCAAAAACTAGTCTAACTAACAGCAGTTCTGGACCCACTCCAAGTATGGAATCTTCTGGAATTCCCATACGTTCACCCCTTTTCAACTGCCCCTGGCCTTTTCTCGACAGTCTGCCATGCGCCAGTCCCATCGACCTCACACGAGCTCACATTCGCCCCCAACTGGCCTGGGCAGCGAACTCCGCTTTCTTCTTGGTGACAAACTCATTGGCCTCCAAAAGGTCGGCGTCGTTTGGGCGTCTTCGGTCGTTTTGGGGGCTTAAAGGGGGGCTTGTCAGGGGGGCTTGTCGTTTTCACGTCACCAACACAAGCCTATTGGCGGAGGAGAAGTCTATAGTTGATGTAGCTTGACCCCTTCCCGATATGGGTGTGTGGGTCTCAAAAACTGGACCTCCAAATCCGGCACAGGCTCAGTTCGATGTAGCTTGGGCCTTGCTGGTTTGCAAAACCACAAATGAACTCCCATGAACTCCCCCCAAAACCTGAGAAAGCCTTGATCCTGCTTTCTGTTCAGAACATGCTCTTCCACAAGATGCACCGGGACCGCAGGGGGGGAGGGCGCGAGCGAGGCCTCGCGCCCTTCGGCGACCTGCACCGGTTTGGCACTCATCTCATCAGGTCAGCCGGGGCATGTTGTTGCTTCAGGGCAAAAACATCCGGAAGGAGGGCATGAAAACCAGAAAACCCGAAAAACACCCGGCACAACTGTAAAACCTGAGAAGAAAGAAACAACAGGTCCGCGTCGAAGAGTCTCCTCGGCGTCGAAGGTGGGGCATTGGACTGCCATGTCACCACCTACGACACCCCGAACTGGTTCGGTTCCCTCACCGCCCGGGGTCAACGTCGCACCACGACCCGGCCTTGCGCTTGATCTCATCGCGCCTAGGTGGTGCGGTGGGAGTGAGAAGTCAAGTCGGTCCAGGAAACAATGGCTGAATACGAGTTTTCCTCCAGGAAAGTGTCACTCTGTATCATCTTTGCACCCTGCAGCACTGAAAAAATGTGCAAAGGCATACGTTAAACACAACACGAGTTGGAACCCAAACTGACCAAGTTTCGGTGTCTTCGGAATGATTTGTTGCCTAGCTTCCGATCCAATCAGCTGGGTAGGGTCTCTCGTCCGGCAGACGGGTGGCCAGACAAGAGACAGAGTCTGGCAACGTCTTGCAGCAAGTGAAACCACCAGTGACTTTATTGAGTTGAAGATATGCTTAGGCCTGTTTGTGTGTTTGGACCCCCCCTGCCTGAGACTCAGCTTAGGTAGAAACCATTTCTAGAGTAGGCCACAAATGATCAAATAAAGAGGCCACCGCATGTTGTAACATAAACACACATAATATGCTATGATATGCTATGATATGACATGCACCATCAGCAATTGAAAAGCGTGTTTGCGAGGCATTCACTGCTGAACCCTATGTCATCATATATCAACCCCCTCTTAGAATAGCCAGTTGCAAGAAAGTGTCTTCCCAGGTCTTTTTCGATGCAAAATGCTCTCAGATATGCCATCATATCTTGCCATTTCGGCACTGAAGACAACAACATCTGAACCTCTGTTGGGAGACGTACAGGCAATTGCCTGTGTCTCGTCCACCGCTACTCATCCACCGGTCTGTCTCGTCCCAATTCCCACCGGTCCATGGGCGGTCTTCCTCCACACTGATTGGGGTGTGTGTTCCGGTCTGAAAACCAAGCGAACCAGGCCGCCAATAAGAATTCACACGGGGTATACAGGGCACATGAGCACATGGGAGCTGTTCTGAAGAATTGATCGACATCTCAAAAACACAAAATCACAATTTTGAGCATGGACCTTGCTTTGGGGGAAATGTCAAACACATGGTAGAAGCTCCGTGGTGTTCATTTGCCTCATGGTAAATCGTTTGCAAACGGATGGCACACCCTCAAACAAAAACGAAGGACACCATGTCTTTGCCTCCAGGATCCCTCCAGGATCCTAAATTACGTTCTTTCCTTGGCAAACTTGTCCTGGCAAAGGAATCACATGGGGAAGAAAATAACATCCCCCACACATATAGAACCACATCCATGATCACCGGCGAATCTGATCAGAACCGGTTCCGCCAGGCGCCCCGTGCTCTTGCTCCGCGGTGGCCGCTCTCTGCCGGAGCCTCGCGGTCCAGACCGGAGACGGTCGACAAACGTCAGCTCTACCCGTTTGGGCTCCAGTCGCAGCTTCGTCGGTGGGACTTGGGTGCCTGGGTGCCAGGTCATACCGAACCTGAGGAGGTACGGATTCACCGTTCAGGGGCATCCGTCCCTACATAGGTGTATGTGTATTGCAATAGGATGCAATAGGGATGCCTCCCAGATAGAACCCTCTGGAAGAAGGCAAATAAAATAGACCAGTCTGGGGGTCTCCCTATTCCAATACATGTCCCTTGTTTTTCCCGCTAGGCTGCCCGGCTCCGACAGCTCATCCTGCGCAACACGGTCATCACGGTCGCCCTTCAAAAGACGAACCAAAGTGATCTTTTGTTTGCTGGTTGCAGGACGAACCAAAACATGGGCGAGAACCACATCTCATCACTCATCTCATCTCCTATCAGTCTTTGCGAGGGTTACTTTTGCTTTCTTATTGCAAAGGCTTTTGATTGTGGTCTCCAAATCGTCAGTCTGAGACTCCAGGACCAACCCCCCAGGATGTTCTTTTCGACCACAATCCCAAATCTGTTGATGCTCATCTACTTGGAATCAACCGGATGCTCAACCCAAAGGTGTCTAAATCAGGGCCAAATGAGAAGAAACAGGCATGAAACTGGCTGATGCTCAACCCCAAAGGTGTCGAAAACAACAAACAGCCCATTCAACCAACAATTCAATGACGGGTCCATGGAAGACATCGGGTCCATGTCCTCCGATTTTGTGAGTACTTCAACAAACAAAGGGTCATGTACCTCAACCTTAGGAGTCCATCTAACCTTTGGGGTCCATGGTACTTCTAAGGATCAGACCCATCAGACCCGGCACAGAATCCCTCTCCTGCGAGTGGCCCACCGTGGTGGCCTTGTCCTCGGCGTTTGCTTGAGTGGCGGAGGAACCCGCCGAGTTCTACGTTCGGCCACGGGTGGGAAAAGCTGTGGAAGATCGTTTGTTCCGTCCCATCTCAGGATATCCGTCTTCCAGAGGGTTACCGGACAACCCTACATCTGCGGTCGACAGGACACCCAGTTTAGGTCCTGTGTGTGTGAAACCGGTCTACGGTGTGTTTACAGTATGTTCTTTTGAAAGAAGCATGGCAATTTGGTGTGCTCCGGCCGAAGTGTCGAATTGATGAATCTCCCGCCACACTCCACTCCATGCCAGGCGTTTTTTTAGTACCTACCATACCTACCAGCCTTTGTCTACCGAGACAATGGGATCAACATGTAGGCCCTGTAGGCTCTGTAGGCCCCACCAAAAAGGTCACATGATTTGTCTTTGATGGATGTGAATGGTGATTCTGACAAACCCTATAGCCTATGGCTGTCTTCCAGTCCGATTGACTGACCTGTGCGACTCGCAGGGAATGAGGGCATGAGCTGCCACTATAGATACCTCTTCGGATCCAGTCCCCACTAAAATCACCCATGCTCTACTCATGCACTACCGCCATGATGTCCTAGACAGATTGGGAGTCCGCGACTGAAACCACCGACATTGCGGTTTGTGCCAGTGCCATCTATATACATCTATATATACTCTCAGTCCGCTATGGTCTTCTACTCTATAGTCAGTTGAGTTTGTGGGCCCCCCAAAGCCACAGGTCGCAAACTTCGAGTCTCCCAGCCGACCAAAGATCGATGTCCACCCAGCTGGCAATGCTCTGGCACGCGCAGATGCGGTGCCAAGGATTTGCTGCGTCACGCGTGGGTCACGAATGTGGGTGCGGGCGGAAAAGAAACGGAGGAGTCTGGTGGAATGTTGGGTAATCCAAAGGCATGAACCACGGTAGGTTCACCATTGATATCGTCTTTATTTTGTTGTGTTTTTGTGTGAGTATGTAAGGTGTGTATTATAATATGCCCTGAATGCAAAGGGTGATGCCTCTGCTCGAACCAGGCTCTAATTCATGGGGCCATGCAGTGCTCTGGACACTCCGAAGCTTAGATGACCGCTTAGACTCCAAAGCTCAAAAAATCAAACCCATATATAGTATCAACTCCAATCAACCCCTCATTTGGAGTCCCTTCAGATCCTTCTGTCGCTTTCGCCGATCTGCGATGATCATCTGCGATGATCACCCGTCGGTCATCGGGCAGTGAACAGTGACTTGGCGAGCTCCATCGTCAACGCACTGCTGAAATTGCAAGGGAGCAAGTAGAAGCTACTGTCATCCTCAAGGGGGCCAATGCCATGCAGGTAAAATGGAGCAAACCGGAAATAAGCAGAGGTGATGTGACCATATTTTGTGGAAGGTCTCCTATTTGATCAATATTGCAAGCAAACCTTCCCCAATCAGTAGGTCAATGCTGTGCATCATGTCCCGTCGACGTCCGAGACATGGCGTGGGACGACGGGACATCGCCAGGTAGCCCGGCTCAGGTGGTCTAAGCCAGGTGGACTAGACGGACTAGAGATAGAAAACAGAAACTAAGCTACGGCTCATGTCAGTGGATCACGACCCAGCGACCGGCAGTGACGCTTTCGGCGACGCAGCGAGTTCTGTTGCGGCCACTCCAAAGCCGGCCTGCCTGTGTCAAGCCAGGACTCCTCACTGGGCAACACCGCTGGAGCATGCGGTTGGGTTAGTCAATCTTGAAAAGTCTATGGTTGCCTTCCATCTAGGTCCAAGTGACCATGAAGAGGAATCAAGTCTGACCAACTAAGTCTCCAGTCAATTGGAGGATAACAGCATAAATCTTGAGAAAGGCAATAGGTCTTCGGTCTTCAGTCTTAAGTCTTGAGGAGAAGCTCCTTCCCTCGAATCTCTTCGGTCCTCCCAGTACCCGAGGGCGCCCGTGGATCCTGACAGCCGGAACTCGGACCCACCGGTGCAGTTGTTGAGATCAAGCGACACATGCAGAACTGGACAGCAACAGCGGACAACTGGCGATAGTCAGGTGCTATCTCTATATACTGTAGGGGTGTTCCAACAAAGAAAGTGCCGATGGTCTGAGTGTCCATGATTGGTTCAACAAACCTACTACTATATCGAATTTGACCCATGATTCAAAGCAACGACCTGTATTCATGTGCTTTCAAAATTCCATTCCACTGTCAATCCAGCACCCATGCGAAGTAGCTCGGGTTCTCTTGAACAGATTGATTTGATCTTGGGCAATTTGCTCAAGTTGTAGAGCTCTCCCTTCGACAAATCCTGCACCACCATAGAACAAACACCCGAGCAAGACCTAATTTCATGGACATCACTTTGCAGTCGTCCAAGCGGTGCAGTTCTGGTGCTTCACCAGCAGAGGTTAAAGAACCAATAGACTATCCCTATCCCCTTCATCCCATAGGTACCCCTCTAGGGTCCTATAATGTCACTTAACCCCTGTAGGCATGTCAGGATGTCTGGGTTTGTAGGGTGAGCCCCACCACACAGAACACCACAGCAAGAAGTTCACAGCCGCCACAGCCCCTGCAGTTCGCACCTGGGCTGGAGACTTTGCCACAGCCTGTGGAGAGTCGACGATGAAAAGAAGCCACAGGTTGAAGAACTCTATGGCCCCCAAATAGATAGACAATACATGTTGAAAGGGATTATACGTTTCTGTCTATTCAGGGGATCTATGTATAACTTTATATTGCGGTGTCAAGCAAGTGGAGCAAGCAAATGCAAGTGGACGCCAAGCTCAGAAAGGACATTTAAGTAACCCTGCCCTAAAGTTGCACAAAACATAGCTAAGCACATTTTTTCCCAGGTACTGTTCACCTAGTTGGATTGCTTTTGCACTGCCTCCAATGCTTTTCATATATATTCCTTGTTCCTGATTAAAGCCTTCCACACAATACCTGTGTCTCGGGCACGGCCAAACACATGACCAAACCCATGGGTCTTCAAGCCATACTTGTTCTGCAAGGTCTCCATGGGTCGGTCTCCATGGGTGTCAAAAGCACATTCAATCATGTCACATTCACTATAACTATATGCGCCCTTGGAGCCAAGGGGTTACGCGGGCCCATCTGGTAGGAACCAAGGGGTTACGCGGGCCGTCCCGAGCACCTGGTCACTGAGTTTGGCATAGGCTTGCCGACCCGCCTGAAGCAGCCCCTGCGTGCGACGCAGCGGGCTGCGTGCGACGAGACCATCGGCACGGTGAGATCGCAAGGCCAAGATGGGCACTTTGTACCTGGAGCATCCTGTCTGGGTGTCTAGGTGTCTAGGGTAGTGGTGACTAGGCCAAACAGGATGGGTGTCTAGGGTGTCTAGGGCCAGGGTAGTCTGGGTGTCTACCTAAACAGGATGGTCCTCGAAAACAGGTCCTATGGATCTGGGTGGGATGTGGGAGCGAGGAGGCCACTAGGCATGACTAGGCCACCCAGTGGACACAATGGTGTCTTACCACTGTAACCAGTGAACCAAAACAAAGACCTTGTGAGTGTGTATTGGAAGATGGAGATCCTTGAAGAAGGAAAATAGGCCCAAGCCCACAGGAACATAAGGTCTCCCTATTCAAATACCAAGACTATCCAAGACTTTATGAAGAACATGCAAACAAAAAAACAAAGACATACTTCAGTGAAACAATAAACACGTTTAAACACAATAGAAACTAGTGTGATGTGTTTGCATTGCTTTCGTTTTGTTCTTGTTCATTTATGATTGTCTTGCTTTACTCTTTTGTACTTATCTCCATCTTCATTGGTTCTCCACGACCATCGTCGCTTCGCCTGCGCACTTTGCGCAGCGGCGCTGATGAACTGCTGACCACGGCGCAAGGGGTCCTTGCAAGCAACAAGGGGATAGTCAAGTATATGGGCCAGTATTTTAATGGGGAGACGCCCTGGCCTATGGGTCGACTGGTCTAGTCTATTTTCCTTCCTCCGAGTGGTTATTTGGGGGTCTCCCTGCTCTAGTACACATCGATATGATACCCGAGTTCCAACATCAAGACTTCCAAAGTAGAGAGGTCAGAGAAGTTTCCCGAATCATGTAAGAAGAACAATTTTTCCAATTTGTTTTTACAAGGGGTACTTTACGTTATACAGTGCATGATTAGGATCGTTCGGTTGGATCATTTGGTTTGATGTTTCACACAGCCTTGTCAGGATTGAGCAGGACGATTTGTTCTGAAGTGTCTCTTTCATTCATGTTTGTGTGTAGTTCAATTAGGGAGACCTCCCAGGCAACGACTCCCTGGAACAAGGACATCATGCTGAAACCCATTGAGCCAGGGAGTCTCCCTATGAAAATCCACACCCATGTTATTGTATACCATGTGTTTTTTTCTCGGTTTCTGCTGCTTCACAGTACTTCACAGCCAACAACCATGAGAACACCCAATTCGCACTCAATGAGTGTTAAAAGGATACCATGTTTTAAGACATGCTTTTCACTTGTCATATGAAAAGGGTTAATCTCGTTTTGGAGTTTGGTTGCAGGCGCCAAAAAACCGTGCGCTGCGCCCAGCCGTGTTCACGTCCCCGCCCCTCCTCGGAATCTGGCCTCAGAAGAGCCGGAGATAAGAGCAATTAACTGGATACGGATGAGTGGCTGGACATGGCAGTGAAAAACCGATTAAGTTGGACACATTAGACATTAGCTGTTCGCCGTTTCTGTTGTTGTTTGCATTCGTTGCTCTTTATGAGTTGAACTGAACTGCTCCGATAAGGTTTGCATCTGTGGGGGTTGGGGTGGCTGGGAGGCTGGGTGGGGGGGGAAATTGGAAAGATCAGTCCATGGCCACATCATCACATCTTATATTACATTTGTGCACAACCGGCACACACAGAGTTCACTATGATCTATGGATGGCCATTTGTCTATGATCTAAGGCTTGCCATCGATGACAGGTCTAATAGGTTGAGGGGTGGCGGGGATAGTGGAATGATTGGCCCATGGCCACGTCATCACATCTTACATCGACATGCCGCCGATACACACAGTTCTCTATGATCCGATGGTCATTTCTCTGTGATCGAGGGCTTGCCATCGATTAGAAGGCTGATAACTTGTGAGTTGTGGGATAGTGGAATGTGTCGCCGGGGCGGATGGCCGTGGACAACCGGCACACACAGAGAGTTCTCTGCGTATGACAATTTCTCTGCGCTCTGAGGATTGCCATTGACTACAGGTCTGATATGTTACTCGTTGCGTGTGGGCTGTTTGTATTCGGAAGCTCGACGGTTCTAGTCAGACACAGGGGTAAATGGACGGCAAGGATAGTTTTCGGAACCTTGGATCCACTTAAAATGAACGCCCTATATCTCTCTGTGTCTCTCTGTATCTCTCTCTCCCTCTCTCTCTGCGAAGAAACTTCGCCGCACGTGGATGTTTTCAACGGCGGGTTTGCGGTCCATGCCGCAGACTCCATCTTCATGTCCCTGAGCTGGTCTCGAATTTGCTTCGCCAAGTCTTCTGGCGACCCGAGGGACGTCCTGCGGAATCTGTGATTCGGAAATGGGGACATTGGCACACTGGCTTCCCAGCGTACAAACCAGAATAGCCCACTCTGATTTCAACAGCCCTTAAGCAAAAGCCGTGCTTGAGTTGCCGTTTAGGCAAAGACTGAGCTGCTGTCGACGATCGCACAAACACAGGTGGGTCTGGAACGCCGTCATCACGTTGTGCAAGGTTATCCAAGAATATATGTGCCTGCTGCCATTTTTGTGCCCAAATGGATTGAAAGCCAGCAACTTCAACTTGCAGCAGCCCTACGGTACCGTGCTCTGCTGCAGATCCTTACAGCAAACATCAGCTAAAATCATTGTGTTTATTACCTTTTTTCATCGGTCCCTTACTACTCAAAAAGAAGAGGGGAAGTTAAAACGCTGCTCATGTGTAGCCAAGCTAGAGATGCTTTGTGTAGAGATGACACAAGAGTTGAAGCTAAAAGTGACAACCTGAATGGTTAGGTTAAGCCCTATGCAGTATGCAATGGTAGAACCTGTTAGCACCTAACCGTTGTGTCAAACCCATCACTGTACATGTTGCACTCACCGAGACAGCCCGACGCACAAGCGATCCAAAACCCGACGCACAAGCGACTCCCCGCCCTCATTTCACATGGTACGGGCAAAGGGGGTGTAAGATTTTGATACATCCCAAACACTCCATAGGACTGGTGTATTTACATTGACCCCAGGTCAACCACCCCGACTGGTCGGTAAATATGCCAGTCCCATGGAGTGTCTGGGTATTTGCCACAGTGAACGCAGTGTTTTGTGCATGTGTATGACCATATGAGGTCGTGTAAAACCCCCTCTATCTTTCCCCATACCACTTTTGACGCTATTGTTTTTAGTCCTTATCGCATTACAGCACTTTCACTGACTGCAACACTTGTAGCCTCTAGTACACATGTGTGTGACTATGTGTGTGTGTGTGCACTGCATGCATGATGCATGTGGTGTGTGGAACCTTGCAGACATGAAGACATTAGGCACAGTTCATTCCAACTACACCCATGTGTCCTGCCTACGGAAAGGCGTTTTAGGCTCTCTGTGTTATCGTTCTTGTTAAACGTTTTCATGCCTGGTGCATCCTGGTGCAAGTTACAAAACCCCTGTGGTGGCCTGCCAATTTGGAACAGTATGGAACTACAGTAGGTTTTGTGTTGTTTTGTGTTTGTGTGTGCACGCATTTTCTTCACACCACTTCTGGCATGTCAAGTGATTTCCACAAGAGTCATCGAGTGTTGTAATTGTGTGTTTTCTTCCTGATCGTTTTAAAGGGAAATTGAGCATGCTTCCAGAAGAACGGACATGCGAATATGAATTTCTTACATGGGGGGGGTTATACTCTCTCACATGATTCGTGATGATTGGTGGGTCAAAACAGAACTCAACCAACATGGCAACAAACCACTGGCTTGACGACCTCATTCTAGTCCAAACATGGGGCCAAAAAAATGCTATTGACAAGGTGTTTTGCTACCAGGGCCATTTTGTGTGGTTGGAAAGCAGGGTATCAAGGACGTCCGCAAAACCATGATGCCAACAAAGACAGGTTTTTGGCATGACAGTCGTGAAGCCAACCACAACTTCAGGGTGCCCAAAGCCCATCAGTGGAGGGTCTTCGAGGTGACCCCTGGACGGACTGTGCCCTTAAGGATTTGAGTCCACCAAAGACACCTTGACAACGCTAGTTGCAGATACATGCAAATACGTTTCTTTGTCATGTATGTGTTGCTTTCATCCGTTCTATCATATCATTTGTTTTTATGTGTTTCAATGTTTTGTTATTGGCTCCGACCGTATCTCTATATGTCAAAAGCAGCTGACTGAAATTTGTTAAAACACAAATGCCTAATGTCAACTTCCTCAGGGCCATAGGCTGGGTATAGGGTCATGTCTTATATGTATATCGTTCGAGTGTGCGTCCAAGGCAAGTGCCATCGCCTCATCCACCGAAGCATCCAAGCGACTCATGGGTGTCTTGAAGCCGCGGAACTGCCTGTGCGACGCTGTGGCTCTCACGCATGTTGTTGCATTGATCCCAAGAATCTCTATATACCCAGATGCTCCGTGAGTTCCCAGCCCGACTCCAGCTGTCCCGAACCAAACCTATATAGGGATTGGTGAGAAACCCCTTCTCCGACCCCTCTTCCGGATTTGCGTCCGACCCCACAGTCCCAGCGTGACGCGTATCTTGGGGCGGGAAGCTTCGGTTTTCGGGGCCACACGAAGCTTCCTGCAGGTTGACGGGTCGAAACGGCTATCCATCAAGCTAATAGCTTTGGACTTAAACCTGCTGGTGCTTAAAGAAAAATCACCTGCTGGTGCTTGTGGACTTCTTTTCCCGGTTGACTAGCTGCCGGACTAGCTGGAAGAACGTGTTTGTTGCGGCAGCTCCAGGTACTTCAATGGTTGTGGGCTCCATATCTTCAATGGGCTTTCTTACCTTCGGGTCCCATCTCTCTGTGCGAAATTGTATTTCGGAATTACTTTTTGGGGTGAGGGAGGAGAACAAAATTCACATCTTGATTGTGCACGTATACAAAAACAATAAAGGTCAAATCCACAATCGATGCTTTACAATGTTTTGTGGCTAGATCATAATCTTAGATTTAGCCAATCTGCATCATCCGGACAATACAACACCAACTTTGACGCACCTGGACATTGGCCGGATGGACTGGCACTGGAGCTGGAGGAGCCGTGCGCGGAAAGCTGCCTCACAAAGGCACTTGCTTCATGTATATAGTGGATTGAGAGTATTTATATATATATATATATATTATAGAGTCTCAGTTCGTACCTTGGAAAATGGGTACAGTCGTACCTGTTTTGGATGGGGGTCATGTCCCATCTTTTAAGGTACTGGGTCAGTCGGGTCCAGATGGCAGAGTCCCCCCAAGTTCGGTAAATGGACGCCCCAGCTGTCTAAGACATGTAGGGGGCGGTGGTGTGCCAGCGCCATTTCTCACTCACCTCACCTCAGCCCACTGTCGATGCGACAGGTGGATTCCTCTTGAATGGGAAGACAAAAGTCCAAGACCTATTCGTGCAAGCAAACAAGAACCTTGTATACTATCTCCCTCCAAGTCCGGTGCTTTTTGGACACCTCGAATCACCTCTAAGAGGCTGTTTATAGACACCTCTTGAAGGGTCCTGGTATACTCTCTCCCTCTTACACATCCAGGTATTGCTGGAGGAACACATTGAAGCCTTTGCTAGCCTGGATTGAAACCATGTGAGAACCAACTGGAAGTGACACTGGTTCTAACACTGAATGGCTCCTGATAACTGTTTAAACCCCAAAATGAATATGAATAGATTCTGGACCCCACAATTACCCGATCGATCACTCCTTTAGAACTCCTGAAACGCACATGTCTATGTAAGCTTTTCATTTGGCTTTTCATCGCAAGCTCCGCGTCACTGTTGGCTGACTCAAGAAAATCCCAAAACTCCTTTGAGCCGAATATCTCTTGAGGCACGTTCCTTTGCATTCAAGACACGGGATTTAATTTAAGATATTTACCATTATTTACAGCAAGTGGATTGAACGTGAAAAGGATAATGATCCCCCACTTCTTTCAACAGTCTTTTCGACACATCCCAGTCACATACCCGGTCACTCACGGCTAATGGGACTGCCATGTGCAGTCACATTGGCGTGGTTGGTTTCTGAAGAGGGGCCAATGGTGCGGCTGCACCTGGAGTCGTTCGACGTACCTCACAACCTGCCGTACGATCAGCTGCTTTGGGTCTTCGTCGCTCCCCAAACGTTCCAACCCGACTCGACCAGTCCCTCGCCGATCGAGATTGCTTCGACCCCATCGACCGTCCGAGCCCTGAGGAAAACCGGTGTCGAGGAGCGGGGGCGGTGCGGTAGGTCAGATCGGGTCCAGGATGGTCCAGGAAGACCCAGTTCCCAGTGGGATCTCTTTCGCCATCCAGGTGCACCTCGATCCGTGGTGCCAGAAGCACTTCCAAAGCGGCATGATGTTGTTCGGTCCGTTTGGGTTGGGAGGGTCACTCCACTGAGACCGTTTTCATCGTCTCCCAACCCAGCCAACACCCAGAACCCCTGCAAAACCGCCACAAATAGTGACCATCCACCTCTAAGTGTCAAAGCTTTTGTGCTCTACCAGGCGCCTGGTCCACCCGGACCATTCTGTGACCGAAATCCCGTCCTCGCCTGTGTAGATCCGTTTGGCCTCCAGCAACAACTCGCCGCTGCGCTCTTGCGAGCAGCTCTGAAGCAGCCCTGCAGCAGCTCGGAGAGCGGTGTGGGAGGTGGCGATGTGCAGAATTTCTACATGGAAAGATGGGAGTGGAACATGGGGAACATGGCCGCCCTTGATCAATTGATGATCTGAGAGATGTGCAGGTTTCTACCCCTTTTTTGTGGAGGCAGCATGAATCTTCATGAATCTTCCGGCTTGATGAGCAAATTCTGAGGATTGCTTTGGGGGGATTCTGCACAATCAGCATTCCGAATGGGTAGAATATTAGGATCATCCGGATCCAAGTGATGTCTTTTTGTGGGAGGAGTTGCCCATACAATCCCCTCATGCCCCCTGCAAGTCTCTTGGTTCAACAGGTCATTAATTCAGTCATTCACCTCACCCACAGGGTTCTACAGGAACCTACCAGTTCTAGTCACAAAGCTACGGATTGTCACCATGTAGGGATTTTGGGCAATGCCATAACCACACCAACCTCAACTCCAACCAGCCCCATCACCCCCGTCACAGCTCGCTCTGGGTGTCGGGCGTCGGAGGCACTCCGTCTGATCGAGTCTCAGCAAATCTCCTCGAATCGGGCGCTGTCACGATCCGAATCCATATCCTTCATTGAAATATCCTTCATGCATGAAAGACATCCCGACGACTGCATTGACTCCTGAAACCACCCCAATGTAACGTACACGATACACCCATGTACACCCTACCGGACGTCGAGTTCACCAGCTGAGGTAGGTCTTCGGATTTCATGGCGGTCATCCGAAATCGCAGAGGTTTCTTGCCTTCCACGTAACCACAATGTGGTTTCTATTTTTTCAGGGAGTGTATAATATGGGTACTACATCGCTACATTGGGTCTCTCCCCCCATTCCCAGCAACAGTGGATGATGCTGGTGACTATGACACGAAACATGATGTTGGGTCTCTATCCCATTACCAGTAACAGTTGATGACGATCGGGCCTGATTGCAGGCCTTTCTCTAGTGATCAGCGATAATTGTTTACCGACGATTGGTACAGTAATGGAACAAGCCCAATCTCCGTGTCTAGGCGTCTAGGTCCATGCTGCTCTTGTAACCTAGACGACGGCTGCCGACCGAACCAATGCTTTCTACACCCTCGGAGACATCCATTACCCAAACACTCCATGTATGTATGCTGTATGCCATATATGCCTACATTGCGCCCTCAAACCACCCCAATGGGGCGGCATATATGGTATACATGGAGCGTCTGGGTTGCTGGCAAAAAGGACACCTGAGACTCCTGGTAGCCCCGAATGGTGGGTGCCACGTGGGAAGCTTCCCCAGCTTGCCCGGCGCGGAACTGCCATCAAACCACCTCACACCTTTGCACTGGTGTTTTTTGTTTTTAATACAAAATCGGCTAACGCCACAAACATCCCAAAGGCGCACGTTCTGGTGAGACTCGGAGCATGCATTTTTTGTAATGTTGGGTGTATGTGGGTACTTAGGTACAAAGTTAGAGTTGTCTTTTGTAATTTATATACAGTTCTCTCTCCTGCTCAGTGAGGTATTTTGGATTAGGTTTCGTCGAGGTTGTTGCTGTTGATGTTGTTGTGTTTTCTTGTTCGGGTTTGGGCTTGACATCTCATTTAGTTCATGTTCCAGCAACATATTCTGAACTCGTCATCTGCTTCAGTGTCGCCATTGTTCCTCATCTTCACCTGTACATCCCAATCAATAGAAACACGTCTTCTAGAAAGCGCCGAGAAAAAGACAAACAAACAAAGACACAAACAAACATCTATAGTCTCCGAATCTCTCCAGAACCACCTGGATGGAGTCGGCGGCGGCATCACCCGTTCATGAGCCATGTATACTTCCCTTACATATGAAGTTGGTGTGCTACCCACGCTGCAGGACGATGGAGTCTTCCTTGGGTCCCCCCATCTCAGCCCCCCGATCTCAGCTGCTGCTGCCGCGCTGCGACGCATGCGGAGCAGCAGCGCTGCGGCCACGAAGTCCAAGGCCGGAAGCTCCTTCGCAGCCTCTCCGACGACGCGGAGACGAGGCCAGCGAGCTGGTTCCAGCTGTGTTTCTGGCTTCAGGGCAGAGATATCCCCCTAGGGCTCCTGGCCGCCCCCTCCGTTTCGGTTCGGTGGTTGGGGTGGGTGTGTTTGGGGGGTCGAATACCACCGGTCGCCTGAGGATATGGGCCCTTCGGAATCCATGTCCTTCATGGATGCCTCATCGGCAATTTTTGCTTTTTTCAAGGACATGTGTACATGGAGTCTCAAAGGTCCCCCGGAGAATTGGACATGAGGTACTTGAAGTGGAGTCCAGGTACAACTCTTCCCCTAGTTTCATGGGATGGTCTATGATGGTCTGAGAGTGTGCTTTTTTTGGACTTGACGGCTGTTCGACTGGATGGTTCTACATGTTATGATGAACGCCAGCCCAAGAGAGGTTGAGAGACCATAGAGGACCCTGTAGTGGTACATATGGGATGGGCTAGGATGGGCTCTTCAACCTCTCTTGGAAGGCCTTCATGGGATGTCACGTGGTCCATGGCCAAGGCTGTTATCGTTCACCAAAAGCGATCGAGATGTCTTCGCTGGTTCACCCAGCCTGTGAGGACATAGTCAGCCTACCTGCGTTGACCGACTAGTGACTAGGGGGAGAGCTCCCCTGAGACCCCTTGCAAAGTCACAGGTGCGGGGTCTCCAACCCATAAGACGTCTCTTCTTCACCGGGGAACTCGAAGCGGGACTCCCTGCATGCCACATTTTTGAGCTCAGATTGTTTCATGCTGTTTCATGATCTTTCTGGAGATAGTCTCACCCCAATTCCAGGTCACCAGGAAATTCTACCAAAACATCCAGCAGAACAATACTCAACCGATCTCATCCCCAACTCTTCTCCCGATTCCTGGGGGTCCCTGTCAGTTTCCCTCGTCCGGGCCCCTCACAACCTGACCCAAACGATTCATGGGACGGCAAACATTAGGGCGGCAGTTTTGGGTGAATGTCTCAAAACCACCCAAAAACATCCAAAAACCACTGACCTCCAAAACCACCCAAAACAGTTTTGCTGGACTATTTGGACTGTTTTGCTGGTGTGGCGTCTGAGCATGTCTGAGTGTCTCAAAACCTCCGCAGCGTTCGTCCGGCCTCAGCAGCGTTCAACATGGCGGCGCTGGAGCCCTCGTACCTGTGCCGCTCAATGCGCTCAACAGGTCGGCGGTTGGTTCAGCCCAGATCGAGCAGGGCATCCACTAGATTCTACAGGTTTCGTTGAGGCAGGTTGGCCGGTTGAGCATGGCTGGCAGGTAGATCCTGCACCAGTGAAATGAGACAGTCACACACACTCTCACACACGCAGACTTCTTTCCATCCAGCTTGTGTGATGTAAAGTCCCAAGGTGGAGCGCACTGCAAAGACGTCGCCAGGTGTTGCCCCACGCTGGCGAAGAGCCCATCCCAAAGGATATAAGTCTCCTGTGTCCGCCGTGGAGAGATTAGCGCCGGTGTGCCGGCTTATATAACCAATGGTCACAGTCTCTGGCTGACCGTGTTTGGCAGGTGTGCCGGCGTGTCTGGGCCCTTTTCGGCCCCTGTGATGTATGAGAATTGATTCTTTTAGCCTTGGAAGACTGATGTGTTTGCGGAAAAGCATGTTGCTGAGTGGCCATAGTTAACATGTTCCGCCTGCCTGCTTTGTCAGTAAATATCTCGCTGCGTCACTCCACTAGCTGCACCCACCCAGTACTCACTCACCCAATTCAATGTGAACACCATCCTTCAACATGTTCTTCACTCCTTTACTGTTGGACACGGACGTTCATGGGTGTATGAGGTGTTTTTTCTTTTGCTTCAGCATGGAGGCGACGGAGCCTGCTATGACAACGCACAAGACGTTGGCAGGAACTAGACGAACTAGACAACGGAGTCTAACGGGGCAACAAATGATCATCTTCGATCCGAACCCTATCATCCTACTTCCAGTATTTGTTCCACTGCACACAATTCCTATCCCTATCCATTTGGTTGCCCTGGCCGCGACGGTGCCTTCTCCATATTCCTTTAGTTCTTGCCCAAATGCTCATGGACCCCCATATGGAGGGGTCTGGCTGGGGTCGAACCAATCCCTAGGTTTTGAGGGACCGGTCGGGCTGTGAACGGGGAGCGTCTGGGTGCTTCCAAAGCAATCAAAGCCCACTTCAAGCGATCCATGATTCATGATCAATCTTTTTCTGCGCAGGCTGCTGCAGGGTGCTGGGGAAAACGTCGCGATTCACCGGTACTTGTTCCACTTCTCCTGGCGGGTTCTGGAAAAGAGACTCCGAAGAAAGCGCTGAAGATGAGTTTAATTATCTCTTCAAAGTATATTGGTATACACATGCATGTCTTTTATACGCACGCGGGTTCGTAAAAACTTTTGGGGATTGTGCCCACTACTCTGAAACCGTTCTACTTAGACTACAAAGCACCTGCATTACATTAGTATGACATCAGCATGACCCAAAATCAATCCGTTTCCACTGGGTGTCCTTCACAGAACCTTTGGTCCATTACCAAACTCACACACATCGAGCTTCGCGAGCTTCGCGAGCTGCGATGTGCGATGGTATTCACCACCTGGGAGAGAAATAGACTTCTTCGTGGAGCAAAGAATTCATAAGAGGTCATTCACCACCTTCTCAGAAGGTACAGCAGAATACACCCTCCTGGAAACATCAATGTGTCGAACACAGCACCCTCTCAGAGTTGTTTTCCTGGATTCATACGGGATTCAGAACCTGTAAGCCCATGACTCACTGTCTTTATAATGTCAGCTGGCTCTGGCCCAATGGGCTCATCTCTCGTGGACAATTGATAAAACTTTGGGTAGATCATAGTAGATCCTATAACCAGTGACAGTGGATGATGATGACGATGATGACGACGACGACGACGACGATGATGATGATGATGATGACAATGATGAGCTAGTATACAATAACAGTACATAAATGCTTTACATTTTCTCCTGTTACTGATCATGGGATACACCCCTGGATACAGCCTTGACTCCCTCGTTCCGATGACCAGACCAAGGCCATCCCCTGTTCGGCTCTGAACCACAGAGGTTTGGTGCGAAGGCAGAAGAACGACGAGTCCTCCCTGTCCTTGGGCAGTTTCATGCCCTGGTAATCCTTCTGGGATTGATCCACCCTCTCTTGCAGCACCTGCAATGCTCGAATGCTTGCGCGAACCGCACCTGTGGAGTTGTTCTCAAGATCCCTCCACCGGTACCCTATATAGTGGTCCCACTATAGTGGTCCCCAATAGATAGTGGCACAGTTTCCAATACATGTTCAGCGGGGATATACTGTTCATTACTTTTCTATGTATTTGGGGGTCGAAATAGATTGAAGCAAAATCGTCTTGGACTCCAACCAGGACTCTCCAACAGGTCTGCGACGTTTATGTCTGCAAAAGCCTCCATTTCATTTCCGAGACCTGTAGAGTTGGGGCCCTGTAGTCGGGAACACCGTTTAGGAAACCTCCCACTTCGACCTGATCTAAGTAGTCTTGGACTCCTACCAGCAGGACTCCTTTCTACCTCAATAGTCAGACCTGGGTACGTAGGGAACATCTCTACCGGCATCCCACAACTCGAACTCATTCCCACGTATGTCGCTCGTGTCTGCTCATTCTCCGAAAACCATCGAACGCCATCGCCCTCGCCCTCGCCCACGGCGTCCGTGGCCTCCTCTGCTTCGCGGTCGCTCGCCCGCCGCGCCCGCCGCACGCGGCGCTCCTCGCGCCGCGCAGTGCGGCGCTCGCCGCGCCGCTTCTCAGCGTCGCGCTCCTGGAGGTTGCAAGGATTTGACGAAAGAACCGAGTGCAATCGGTGAAACAAATGAACAACATCTTAGTGATCTTAAATACTTGATATCTTAGTCTATAGCTGGATATCTTATAACTAGGGGCCTTGTGGGGGAAGGCGTGATTTGAGAGCTTTCTTAGTGGATACTCGGGGGCAACTCGAATCACAATGAGCTGTTTCTCGACTATTATTATATAGAGCCTCAGGATTGATAGCGCTGATGGAGGCTTTGCTTCTGTGCAGTTGTGGAATAGATAGACTCATGGACTCCGGACCAATCCAACATGCGAGTAGACATGTCAAGACAAAATCCACATCTTTTCACAATTGCTTAGCATTCAAACCGACTCAACCCCTGCACTCCTTGTCCCCGAAGCCGTCTAAGCCTGCCATGTAGTCGTTGAAGGCGCTTGTGGCGCTCCTTTCTTTCGTCATCAGCAAGCTGGGAGTTTGGGGTGAGCCCGAGGGTTGTATCCAACAATTGACCCCTCAAAGAAAAAACCTCAAGGCCATATGTCCAGTCCATGGATGGTGTGTCGAGAGCCTCTCAAACAAAGATGTTTGTGCTGAACGTACGTGGAATTCGCTTCTTTCACGTCCCCAGGCGTTCAGAATGTTCGAGGTCTGCTTTCCAAGATGTTCCAAGCCACTGGTGCTCTTCCTCATCCACTTCATAGCCTGGGACGTCATCCAATGTCCAAATGACTTGCCGCAACGAAATGTCACAACGCGCGCCCCCTGCAAAACCAAGTGCCTTACCCAGATCTTACGGACCTGAGCTGTGCCCACAAACACCTTTGGATGAGTTGCCAACATCTTGTGTCCTCTAAGTGGCAGCGTCGGTTCATTTGCTTTCGCATGTGCGAACAGCAAACAGTCCCATCAGAATGAAGCTCGGATGAATCTTCCGGGGTCTTCTGGGGCTCAGGAACCACCAAAGACTATCAAACAGTACGGTGCCAGCAGTTCCAAAGGGGTGCCCAGATCATCCACTCACTGGAGACGAGCCACACCACCCCGTCTGACTCCCGGTATCTCTTCTTTCGGTATGAATTTCAACATCAACTATGCTTTCCAACACGGCTCTTAGCATAATCTCGCTCCGCTCCAACACAGCCCAGGCCAACAACTCCAGCACCAAAACAGGCCACTCTCGGGATGACGATCGTACCACTCCCAGGCTTCTTTCCCTGGGCCAGCAGGCTCCTTGCCGTCACCGTTTCACGACGCCCGGAGTGGCCGTCCCGCCCGGATCGCCCCGGCGGGGTTTGACTGGTCCGATCGATGCGTTTCGAGTTGGTTTTGACCGAATAGCTTCATCTGGGGGTCTGACCTTGGGTCTCCGGAGGTTCTTACACTGAATTTTGGCCAATGAAGCGCCCATAGGCGGCTGGTGCCTTTCGAAAGTTGGTCATCTCCCGACCTGTCAGTCCACCAACGCTAACGCATACAACTACCACAACTATATACAGATTATCTATATAGACTTTATACCGTACTATGTTTAAAAAGTAACATCAATTGAGGCCTGGTCTTTCAATGTTTTCTGTTCGCTTGTACTACCAACGAACAAACCCATGTTTTCGCGTACATGTCGCCAATCTACCTCATTGCAAACACATGACAAGAAACCGCTCCCTCCAAACCCCTCAAGGACGCTCGCAGCTCGCCCTCTGTCCAACGAACTGGGCTCCTCAGGCTGAAGATCCTTCGCAGGCGGCAAGGCCGCCCTCACCTTGCGATACTTCAAATACCTAGCGCCCCACAGCCGGTCCGCAAGTCACCCGAAGTGGAGCCGGCTGGGGTGAGGAACAACACCTGTGTTTTGGCGAAAGAGAAAACAACTGGGTCAGAAAACCGGATGTCTTGTGGCGTCATGTGCTTAACATATTGGTGTAATCCAGGAGTCACATGTGTTTAGGTGGTTTTGGTTCGTCCCACCCAATGACTCAGAATCTAAAATATCCTAACATCCAAAGCCGAAATGGAACTCCTGGTGGGTTCAGCTGTCTTCTGAGTTGCTGGGTTTTTCGAAAGCTAGCCCAAATGAGGTCCCCACAACCGACCTCAACCGCTGATCAATACCGGTCACAGTCCCTGGTTCATCTGGACTCCAAAAAAAGACCTTCCCAAACTCTCATGGACCGGTCGGACCTCGTTTCAAGGGGTCTGCGGTCGAAGCAAATCCCGGTTTTCGAGGGACCGGTCAGGTCGGGTTTCATGGAGCGTCTGGGTCGGCTTGACCCGGGCGGTTCATGCAGCAAATACCTGGAAATCACCCGGATCTGGCACCGAACCGATGGCATGGCACGGCAAGACCGATGGAGACCGATAGGCACAAACAACTATCAGGGCCAATGCAGGGCATCTTTTCCTAGATCTTCTCGATGTTCACCAAGACCCCGATCTAAAGCGATCTCTTGAGAACCGATCCCAATGCGGAGGTTCACCACTATAGACTCTATAGATCTCCATCTTCAAACCGATCCGGATCGCGAACGCCCATCAAACGTCTGGGAGAAACCGATCCAGCTAGCGATCTCGGCTGAAGAAGAAACCGATCGCCGAGCGAAGCTTCGAGAGATTGGTTTACAACGCATGACTCCCGGAATTCGCAGGGCTGGTT